GATTTCGATAGACGTTCCCGGCGCATCACGACCGGCAACGCATCACAAATATGCGGAACACGCCAGACTTGAAAACCGAGTAATACTGCGCCGGAGTTCGATAGGCGTTCGTGACTGCTGTAGGCTCGACTGTAGGCACGACATTCGACGCATCATGGCCGGCAACGCATCACGATTCTGCGGAACAGGCACGGCCTGTCGACCGAGCGACGAATGCTTCACATTGACACGAATAAAAGAGTTTGGGCTGCTGTAGTGAAGTCACTGTAGTCAGTGTAGTGAAGAACACCGAGAGGTCACAGAAATGGGAAGCCCGATTTTGTAGTGGTAGTACCTGTAGTATCTGTAGTCAGGATAATGAAGAAAAGAGTTTGGGCTGCTGTAGTGAAGTCACTGTAGTCAGTGTAGTGAAGAATACCGAGAGGTGACAAATGGGAAGCCCGATTTTGTAGTGGTAGTACCTGTAGTATCTGTAGTCAGGACTGTTAGAAGCATGAAGAAAAGAGTTTGGGCTGCTGTAGTGAAGTCACTGTAGTCAGTGCAGTGAAGAATACCGAGAGGTGACAGAAATGGGAAGCCCGAGTTTGTAGTGGTAGTACCTGTAGTATCGATCTGTAGTCAGGATGATGAAGAAAAGAGCTTGGGCTGCTGTAGTGAAGTCCCTACAAGCTCAGTTAACGCTGCTGTAAGGGGCGAATTAGGCGTATTCCCACTGTACATAGATATCCAGACGCAACTGATCAAATATTGGATAAGACTAAACAACCTCCCTGATGACAGAATAGTTAAGAAAGCATATCACGAAGCCGTTAGACAAGAGCAGGACTGGGTGGTCCATGTACGAGACACACTCTGTAGACATGGTTTCCAAAATATTTGGTTGAATCCCATTACAGATGCCAAATATTTCGGATTCATTTTCAAAGAGCGCCTTAAGGACGGATTTCTATCTGGCTGGAGGCAAAAGATAAATAGCTTTTAAAAACTTGAAACATACTCAAAAATAAAAAAAGAACTTTCACATCGAGAACTATCTCCTATCTGTTCAAAACAAATCCTTTATAGTTAATACGACAAAATTAAGAATCGGAGCACACTGCCTAGAGATTGAAAAAGGCAGACACAACAATATACCAGCCAGTCAGAGATTATGTCCTACGTGCAAAGATAGAGTTGAAGACGAATATCATTTTCTGATGACATGCCCCACATACGACGAAGAGAGACGCAAATTAATGCAGATGATCCGATGTAAGACTACTAGAACATTACCCAACACATCTAGAGAGACGTTCCATATACTTATGTCATGTCCAAACACATTTTCTGTATATATAGGTCAATACATTTATAATGCCATGCAAAAAAGACATCTTAGAATAGCTGTATAAGTAGAGTCACTGAATTTTTTATCAACTACATGTATACAGTATAGCGTTTCGTAGCATTTGTATGTAGAATCTTAACATTCCTGGCAAGTAACTTAGTATACACTGTTTAGTAGCCATAGAACATGTTTAGTATAATTAGGTACAACTGCTCACTGTACCCTTCATGTGTATAGTCTAGCGTAATGTACAATGTACATGTAGAGTAGAAATATTCTCTAGCCAGTAGCTATTTATAATACTCTGTCAGATACAATGTCCGTTGACCATATATATAGCATTATGTTAGACACATGCCAACTAGTAATCTTATTATTTGCCATACATTGTACCCGTGACAATCGTTGTGCAATAAACTTTGACTTGACTGTAGTCAGTGTAGTGAAGAATACCGAGAGGTGACAAATGGGAAGCCCACTTTTGTAGTGGGAGTACCTGTACCTGAGGCAAAAAAAAGCTATTTCGGTGTCAAGTATGCAAATTATACTGTAACATTGCCAATTCGCATACATGATGTCGGTGGGTCATTGCGCACCTGATGAAATTGTTTTGGAGAAAATCGCTTCTCATTTAGCGATTTCTCATTTCTGAGCCAAAAAAAGCTGTTTCGGTGTCAAATATGCAAATTATGCTGTAACATCGCCGATTCGCATACATGATGTCGGTGGGTCATTGCGCACCTGATGAAATTGTTTTGGAGAAAATCGCTTCTCATTTAGCGATTTCTTATTTCTGAGCCAAAAAAAGCTGTTTCGGTGTCAAATATGCAAATTATGCTGTAACATCACCAATTCGCATACATGATGTCGGTGGGTCATTGCGCACCTGATGAAATTGTTTTGGAGAAAATCGCTTCTCATTTAGCGATTTTTCATTTCTGAGCAAAAAAAAAGCTGTTTCCGTGTCTAATATGCAAATTATGCTGTAACATCACCAATTTGCATACATGATGTCGGTGGGTCATTGCGCACCTGATGAAATTGTTTTGGAGAAAATCGCTTCTCATTTAGGTTCCGGGTCGGAGTTTAATTCTGACCAGGGTTCCAAATAGTGCGCAGTAAATCGCCGGATCGGCGAGGTTGTCACGCTAGGTTTGGCTCCCCATAGCTCGGCGATCGCTGTAGATTTTCAACTAAGTTTTGAATTGATCAAAAAGCCTTGGGATTGTAGTGTTTTTCGGCGCGGTGAAGTTGGACGGCCAGCGAAGCGTTTTTGGTATTAGTCCGCGAGCAAGGGTGATGCGGTTTGTCGCCTGATGACCCAAATAGCTGCGTTCTATGTGGAATTTCTAGGGGTTCGCGTCACCGGATTTTGCGAAAAACTTATCGCAACAACCTATTTTTTTTTCTGTTTTTCAGAAACAGAAAGTAGTAAGCTATTTCAGCATATAAGCCGTTAGCCTGAGAAAATTCGTTTTTTCCAAGCAGGTCCGTTGAAAAAACTGCAAAAAAAATACATTTTTCGTATCCAAAATTTACGTTTAACTACAGTTTCTACCCAAATTATAGAGTCGACGGACAATAACCAAAATTGTATCGGAAGCCGGCTGGAAACCTCCGTTGACTGATGTAATGAGATTTCCCGGCGTACTTTTTTTGGCGGAGTTATAGCCCTTCGGTCTGAGGGTGTCCGCCGGATCCAAAATCGTGAAAAAAAACTCCGGTCCGAGACCTTAAGCGATTTCTCATTTCTGAGCCCGATTTCTCATTTCTGGGCCAAAAAAAGCTGTTTCGGTGTCAAATATGCAAATTATGCTGTAACATCACCAATTTGCATACATGATGTCGGTTGGTCATTGCGCACCTGATGAAATGTTTTGGAGAAAATCGCTTCTCCTTTAGGTTCCGGGTCGGAGTTTAATTCTGACCAG